GGGGAAGGAGAATTGAGTAGGCTGTAATCTCTGCACCATATGGGATTTACTGAATCTTTTTCTGTGTGCAGGCATGTCAATTCCTAACAAGCACAAGATGACTCCAGAATCTTTTGATGTGTGGAGGGATTCTTCAGTTTTCTTGATGAACAACTCTGATCCTTCAAATAGAAGGACCTCCGCTGTAGGCTGGATTTCCTTTGAAAAGCCAGATAGCTGAAGCCAGGAAGCCCTCCTCATGACCACCGTTGTAGTGGCTGTGTCAGCAGTGGCTAGAGAGGCCTGCAGAGATGTACTTGCAAGGAGTTGGCCTTCAGCAGCGATCATCTGAAATTGCTCCCTCTGGTCTGTTGGAAGATTGCCAGTAAAGGCATTCAGTTTGGAGTAATTAATATATTATATACTTTGCCATGAGAATTTAGTAAGTGGCTACCCTAAATCACAGAATAGCAGATGATTATGATTTTTTTGCCCAAATAAATCAAGATATTTAAAATCCTCATCATATGGCATTGATTTAGCATGGTGCGGTCTGTCATGTACATTTACAGCACTGACGACAAGGGAGTTTGGGGATGGGTGTGAAAATAAAAAGCCTGAGCCCTTGGAGGGAACATGGTATTTTTTTTCCCCGCTCTTACAGGTGAGAGGTATTGTTGTTGGGGTATGCCATATTATTTTTGCTGAGTGCAGCAAGGCCTCGCAATGTGGAGAGATAAGAATGTGTGCAGGATGTCAAGTAGCTTGTGTTGCGACTCCTTAACCTCTTCTAGCAGAATTTTTAAGGAGTCCGCTAGCCTTCTGATAAAGTCTTGAAATTGTTTGAAACTGCATGCCAAAGTTGGTGGAGGAACCAGTAACCACGGTAGAGGAGTAGATTTAATTGTGCCTGAAATAATACGCTTGGTGGAATTAAGTTGTACATCGATCATCCTTGTGTGAGATGAACAAGCCCATACTGGAGTGCAGTACTCTGCAGTTGAATAACAGTGCCGAGGCTGAAGTGCGTACCATTTGGGTATTGGCACCCCAAGTCGTTCCGGACAGTTTTCCAAGCAAGTTGTTGCGCGTTTTGACCTTAGTTGCTGTTTTTGTAAGATGGTCACAACATGTGAGAGTTCTATTCAACGTGATGCCTACATAGACTGAATGTGAATCATGCTTTATTCGCTAAACATTGAGAACTATATTCAGCTCTCTGCTCGCTTGTGCATGATCTAAGTGGAAGACACCCAACACACTTGGCATCAGGCACCACCGACAATAATCAGCCATAGCCACCATATATGCATTCAAATCACTCAAGTATGTCAAAGGAGTGGAACTGAGTGCCGAGGCATATGTCGTCTGCATAAAACTCACAAGATCCGGTATATGGTAGGTTATTCAAATATAAGTCAAACAACATCGGAGATAATGCTGAGCCTTGCGGGAAGCTGTTCTGGTGCCCCCAAGCACTTGTTCTTGTAAGGCCACTGATGTGGTGCAAAAGACATGGATGTGGGCACCCAAGGGCATCCATACCAACTGGGTGGGCTGTCTCTCTCAAGACAGTAAGCTGGTTCTGCAGTTGTGGAAAGCTCCTTGATAGAAAGGAGAGCCTTGGACAGAAATGTGAGAAACTGATGAGAAATTGTCATCATCGTCCTCCTCTTCAACACTTCGCAGAGGTGGAGCAGTTATGGAAGCTATGAGAGACTGTCAGTACTGTTTGTCTGTCCGGAGAGTGAGAGGGGTGGTCGGAATCGGGAATGTGTTGAGACCGATCAGGAGACACTCAGGCATTTCTGAAACCACCGAGACCCTGGAAAAGCAAAATTCCTGTGGTACCAGGATGGTGGGCAGTACTGCTGAGGTAAGATGAGCAGAAGCGACTGATGTAGAAGGTGCTGATGGTACTGGAGGTCTCTTACACTGATGAATGACCAGTAGGTGTTGGTCTGGCCTTCTGCAGAGCTGACGTACTAGGTACCGAGGCTCTAGGGGACGCTGTCGGTACCAATTTTAAAGCTGTTCTCTCTCTGCCATTCCATTCACCCGACAGTAGCAATCTTTCGGGGCCCAAACTCTTCGAGTCCTTAGGTTTTCTGGCAATGACAATACCTGAGGAACTTGCAGCCTCATAGGTACTGAGCTGGAGATCGGTGGGTGCCAAGGTGGTCGACCTGGCCGGGGATCGTCTCTTAGTGGTAGATTTTCTACCCAAGGGACATGAAGTCTGCTTTCTGGTGACTTTTTGAGAGGAATCCAGGGATTTCCTCTTCAAAGCCATGGGGGAGCGTCATGCCAAAGAAGTTGATGGAGTAGGTCTTCTCAAGGACCGTTGTACAAGGAGGGTCCCTGGGCTGGGGTCAGAACTCTCCATCATAACAGACACAGTTTTAGTTCCTGGTTCTTTCTGGCCCTTTATTTTAATTTAAGGCAGAAATAACACTTTTGAGGGATGTGTAACTCCCTGAGACAGCGTATACAGCATGAATATCCATCATTGACTGGGATAGCCTCTCGACAGGAAGACAATGTTTAAACCCAGGGGAGCCAGACATACCCTTTTCAGGTTCCACTTCTCCACAGGGAACAACGAAGAAAAAATAATTGTGGATGCTATTCTAATAAGAAAAAAAAAATTATAAACTCCTCAAAAAAAAGGAAAAGGGAATACTAGAACTAATGGAAACTCTATGAACTAATTATCTCGAACAAGATGAAAAAAAAATACAAGTGAGGTAATCTCAATTCGGATGCTGCTGAGGTGGTTGAGAAGGAAGTGAGGGCCGTTTGCCCACACAGCGCTATATAACCCTGTTGCGGGGCATGAGATGGGAGAATGCAAGCGTGGGCCAGACGGACACTGCTACCTAAAATCTCTGATCTGAGATGCATGGGGCACAAGAACACCTAGGGTGGAGCACCCATAGGGACCCTACTTGAAGGCGTCTGCTTCTTGAAACTTCACCTTCTTCCTATTCAAACACGCACAAAAGGGACAGAGACATTATGGCCCTAATGCTTTCATGAGAGGATTCCATGAGGAATTATTTTGCCAAACATATGCAAATTCTTCCATGCATCATCACCAGATCCTCAACTAATATAAATAGAAGGTTAAGAATAAATTTTACAAAGAATTCTTTCATCAATCACTATAAAAACTGTATTTAAAGAAGCCAAAAAGGACGACCAACTGCCTTCATATATGGTTTCATCAATTCACCATAAAGCTAAAATAGTGACTAGAGAGAACCAGTTTGGGCTAACAAAGCATTTGATAAGATCTTTCATCCTTCTCACCAACTTTTCTTTGAGGATGTAGTTGTGAAGTTGAATCAAGGGGAATTGAGAGTGCCCAACTTCTTGCAGGATTGCGTCTGCATTATTTATGGCATTTAAGATTATATGAACGATAGCAGGGGATACAAATAATTCTGAATTCAAGATTCCATAGGTAAGTGAAGGATGAGTTGATATTTCAAAATTTGGCTTTAACTACAACAACATATATTTTAAGTTTACATATACATAAATTCTATTTGGTTAATTATTTGGGATCATTATTTTAAACTTTGTAGCTCAGAGATTTATTGATGAAAAAATAAGAGTCTTTCATGTCTAGGTTGCTGGTTCAAATCAAGCCCAGTTAGTTACTGTAAATTGTTATCTGTCAGGAATTTGGTGACTACGTGAAATAATTTTTTAAGGGAAGATATTGGTTCTTTTCCAAAGACAACAAATGGCCACTTCACAAAACCAAAACTACAGCTAACACTAACTGGCCAATTTATTAGCTGTATTAGGGAAGCCAAAGAGCTTGGAAAGTGAACTAAAATTCATCTCTCTAGTACACACTTGAGACAAGTTGGCAGGACAGTAGTGAGGAAACTTGCACTACAGCTGCATGAGCTGTAATTGATCTGTGGATAAAATAGAGGACTTCGATCGCCACAAAGGTCAAGCCAGCACCTTTCATAAAAATTAAATACACTTACAAAAATTTAAAGAAAGGGAAAAAAACCCTATGCAGCTCCACTTTTAAAATTTGGATTATTTTTTCTTAATTCTAATGCTCGTCATTCTAAAAACAGTCTTTATGAACACTATTTTTTCAACCACAGACAGGTGCGGCTACATCAAACTCTAAGGAACAAGAAAAAGTGAAACAGTAATCTAACCAATCTGCAGTGAGAGCTTTTGCAATCTACCATCTGAATAAATCACTAATTTAAGCACTTTGTTGAAAATGTGTCCTTCAAAATATTTTGTTTGATCATGAAGTGCAACTTTTAAAATACACTTTTCTCATTTGACAGTGGCTATCACTTTCATACTAGAAACTAACAATACAATACAGAAGTACTACTTCATTTTAACTACAGTGCTCTATGACATATTTGAAATCCAGTACAGTTTTTATTGTTAATGTCAAAGCTAGACAGCAGATGCTGAACATGACAAATGTCTTAGCTCTCTAGTTTATGCTGCTCAGCATTTCATCAACTAAATATAGTGCAAATGTACTGGCAAGGAGAAAATGATAACATAATTCATGTGGGTCATATCCTTAAACTAGAAAAAGCATGTGTGTTATTAAATATGACTGAACTGAAACAGGGTATTATAGTTTATCTTTCATAGCACTTAGGAAATTATGCATTTATCAGAAATTATACAGTACGCAGAGCGTACACTCAGTTATATTATATGAAACTTCTAAATTATCGTTTTCATTATTTCAATGACCTTCATGACATTTGATCTTAAATACTGTTTCCATGGAGAAAGCCATTGTATTAGGTTTTTGTCTTTTAAGCAAATATACTATTGGAAGACAATACATTTTCTGCTAAGAAGTCAAATTTAATATAGTAAAAATAAAAAAGTTTCATCAAAAAAGACAACCCCATTTTTATTGTAACTATCCTATATATTGTATAAGATTAATTCCAAGGAGTATACACATTCTTGATATACAAAATGTTAGTATAACTGAACTTGTTACTTACAAGCAAAGTTCCATAGTTAAAAAGAAACTCCTCGGTTACAATCTGGGGACGGAATACCTATTTGAGCAGAGTTTTGGCATAAGAATAAATAATTAAAAAAGTGATAATGTAGCATAGTTTACAGTGTGTTTAAAAAAGCAGAACATTTATTTTGTTTTTATCATTAGAATTATCTAAACGTAACTTCACAAATAGGGCTCAAGTCTTCATTCTGTCACAAAGCTGGCAATCCCACTGACTTCAATTAATGCTGACTTCATGTAAAGAAGGCAGAATTTGGCCTACTCCAATTACAATCAACAAAGTGCATTTAAGGAGCATACAGTGGTTTACATTGTTTTCTAATTAAAAAAATAATTACCTGGGATGTCACAAGGTGAAGAACTATTGGCATCATGGGAAGGCACATCTTCAGCTGTTTGGCCTGAGTTGTTGATGGATGTTTACGTCCAGAGACATTAGCTAGGGCACTAAGAATATCACCTGTAATACACAGCAAATATGTAGGATGCAGCTCAGTCTACCTCAACATAACTAGTTTAACTAAACAAAGGGGCTATTGACATTTTTTCTCATGTAGCCTGTATGAGGTTTCCCAGGCTTAACCTGAAGAAAAACTATTTCTGATTCTTCTTACAAACTGAACTACTTAAAGAGGGTTTGATCCTACAAAGTGCTTGGCACTCTAGACTCAATCCAAAAAACACCTAACTGTGCTTCACTTTAAGCATGTGAGCAGTCCAAATGATTTCAACTGATTACCTTCAAAACAACAAACAACTTAGTCTCTAAATGCTTGCCAGTAAGTTGCTCTGATTCATGTGGATTTGCAAACAGAAGATATACCTTTCTTCTCTAGATAGTAATTCAGAATGAGCGGCAAGGGGTATATCAGTTATCCTGGCTGAAAATTTTAACCAGTTATTGCCAGAAATACTAACCCTTCGTTTCACAATCTCACACTAATGTGAGAAATTAATTTCTCCTTCGTACCAAATGCGTGTAAGTGACAAACAAAGGAGCTGAGGCTGATTGCTACGTTTGTCCTGTTTTATGCAAGTATAATTCCGCTGACTTCAATGGAATTATTTTTGCATAAAACTGGAATAGTATGGTGGCTTGCACACTACTTTTCAAGGCAAGCAGCTGTCACTCAAACTCCACACTCCCCTAAAACCAGGGATAATTTCTGGTCCCTGGAAACATTTGTAAATCAAGTCTCCATCCCCTTCTGACTCCCAAAGTGTCAAATACATATCAGAATGAACCACAGGAACTTTCTGCAGTCTAGCCAAATTTAGCAATCAAAAGTTGGAGAAGCCTGTTTAGCAGCTTTCCATAAGATATTAGAAAATAGCATTCAGTGATTTCACTTTAAATCAGGGTTCCCAAACTTTTTGCCTGCATGACCCCATTTTGAGACACTGTTTGCTGTGACCCCAGACAGCAACAACGCAATAGTGACCAAGGAATTAAAGGAATTTACACATTAAGTATGTTATTTAATGCTCTCTAATGTGACACACAGTCTTGCGTGTTGCAACACAACTTCTCGAAGTCCAGCGGTGTGATAAATTTCACATTTAATCTATGATGCAAGATCAACAGAAGATCAATACTGAGATTTGATGGACACAAGTGAACTGAATCCAGCTTCACACAAATATGTGCTCAAGAATGGCACCATCAATTTCAAGGCACGTGTTGAGAGTGCAGGATATTCACTCTTGGCAGGGAATCAGAACTCCAGGAGAGAAAGTTGGGGATAAGTTCCTCACAAGAATCCACTGCAGGAAATTTCAGTGAGCGATTTCAGCTGCTGGCAAATCCATAGCATCAGGCTTGCAGTGAAAGGGGTTTTGTACCCAATCATACTTTGTCATGTTCAAGTTGAGGGAAAAGGATGCAAACTTTCCTTCATCTGGCTGAGATGCTTAGCCATCATCACCTGTGTGGGAGGCTGAATAATTTCATTGTCAGCCAGGAACTTGCAGCGCAGACCCAACAAGCTACAATGATTCTTTATCGAGTGCCAACAGTGTACTCAGGGTAGCATAAAAAGAAGATATGGGCCCTGCCTTAAGGTACTTACAAGCAACTGCAGATTCCCATCTCAGAAAAAAAGGCTAGCACAGGCTCCTACCAGCTCAGGCAGAGAGGATGCTCTATTGATAAAGCTGCTGCCTACTGAAAAGGATCTTCTGGATTCAAGTCTCTCACCTGGATATCTGCAAAGTTGGATGGTGCAAATGGCAAAATGGAATCTGCAAAGCCACCTCTGCACATCCAACATGTCCAGACCTGCTCCACAAATACTACGCCAGGAGGCACCCATTTTACAAAAATGGTAGCCTCCGCACAACATGACCTCACATGCACTGTATCCGTGAGGCCACGATGTGTGGAGGCCATCATTTTGTAGGTCAAAATGTCAGCCTCCTGGCATGGCATTTGTGGAGCAGGTCTGGAAACAGGCGGCATCATCTCACACAACGAATATGGTCTGTTGGACCCCACGACCCCATCTGCTGATGGCAGAACCCACCCCTACTGGGGGCACAACCCACCCCTACTGGGGGCACAACTCACTGTTTGGGAACTGCTGATTTAAATTAAGAAGATTTTGGATAGTGAAGTCTCATATTAACTCTAATCATGTGCAAGATACTGTGTATAATTTCATATAGTTTAAACACACATACAGACAATAGACACTTAAATTATTTTTGTAGGATGATATTTAAAAAAACTGAACTCTTGAAATACAATGAATGAATTCCAAGCTCCACTGAACTGAATGGCAAAACTACCAATGACTTCAGTGAGGCCAGGATTTCAACCAGGATTTCTGGATGATAAAAACTAACATTTTCAGGGAGCATATAATTTTTCTGGAATGTACTTCCACAAAAGAGAAGTGGATAACACAAAGTTATCTAAAGCAACAGGGATTCTTGTGAGGGACAGGTAAAAAATAAAATAAAAAGGATAGTTAGCATGAGCCAATGAGGGAGCACAGCTGAGTTATTGAAAAGAATGTCTCAGGCACAACTAATCTAGAGAAAAGGATCAAATATCTGATCATAAAGGGGAAGATTGTGGTTCAAGAACCAAGAAGTGTGAGAAAACCAGCGAATTCCACTCTGACTGATCTTGTTTTATATGAACTATTGTCTCAGGGAAACAAGAGGCCTTTGGTGTATGCATAAAAATTGAAGCGATGGGCAGGGGAAAGTCTCTGCTTATATGCAAAAAAAGAAGAAAAATGAATATTTTTAAAGCTTTGAGAGTTAATAAATTCTGCCCTTGAACGTACACATATTTCCTGTTTTTCCAAGCCTATAATAGAGTCACTGAACAATTAAAAGCCAGATTCTGCTAGCCTTATATGCAGTTGCAGAGATTTTAAGACCAGAAGGGAACACAGACTCATCAGACCTGTCCTTTTGTATAAAACAGGCCATAGAATTGATTCATATTAATTAGCTGAGTAGTATCAGTAGTTTATTACTCAAATACTCCCATTGACTTTAATATTCAATGTACGTAATGGAGGCAGAATCCTGGCCTTAAATTAAATTAAAAGGAGAGATGTGCAAACAATTCTATTCCAAATGCAATATGCTGTTCATAAAAATGAATGCATTTCCCATCACTTCTCCAGTTATGTGAGCCTCAATAAATAGTCCTAAATTTTAATAAATATGTACTTCTGGTTTTGAATCATTAAATTATAATAATATGACAAAGCCCTAGTTGTGGTGAACAAGAGATGCTGAATCTACCTAACTTGTTATTCTGGCTTTCCATATTTTACGATGCATACAGTGGTCATCCTGTTGTCAAATTTTGCATTAGATAAATAGATACAGATACCTCATTATTTCAGTATGACTGTATATTTATTATATAGCAAATACCTAAAATGCTACAAATACAGAAGTAAAGTTATTTAGTTAACAAAGGCAAATGGCAATTTTTTAAGTCTGACTACTCTACTATTGATTTAATCTAACTTTTAAAAATAAATATTTGAAATCAATTTCTATTTTTTAAATCTATTTGGTTTATAGCTACATCTGCTGGAAGAGAATGGGATTAGAAGGGAGTTTAAATAAATATATATTAAAAACTAGCAAACATCAATTTCCAACTCAGAAATGTAACTGCTTTTAATTAGTTTCACTTTGCAAAACGTCTTATTTCCTCCATATGAAAAAAGTCCAAAGTTACTTTCACCCCTGAATCAGAACATATTTTCATTATCCCGAACAGGTAAAGAGAAAATACTCTCCTATAAAATCTCAAAATGAATCTTAATAAAAGCCAACCACAAAGACAGTCCTCCCTTCACCCAAAAACAATACAACCCCTCTCCCCAACATTAACTGGAGAAGGAAAACAGAGTGGAGAACTTATGTTTGATGTAGAGGTTGTCCAAAATATGCCATTAAAATTATACATCAACAGTAAAGGCAGAAAATTGCATGTAAAAGACAATAAGTTATTTTTGTTATTATCATTATTTGCATTACAGTAGTACCCAGAGACCCCAAATGAGATCAGAGTCCCACTGTGTTAGGCAGTGTACACACATTCAGAGAGAGAGAGAGAGAGAGAGAGAGAGAGAGAGAGACACACAGACAGACAGACAGACCCTCCTCAAAGCATATACAGTCTAAGGCCCCAATCCTGCAATTGACCATACATGGTCATCTGATATTTAGTTACTTAGGAAAACAAAGAACAGATGTGGTTTGAGGGAGAAACAAAATATTACATGGCCTTTGTAAATAAATTTTAAAAATAGGTGACTTTAAAGCCTACCAAACTTTACAAGTGCTACCCCTTTTTTTCCCCATTACTAAAAACAACAATTAACATACAGTGAGAACTTTAACTGCCATCTTTACACTAATGACTCACAGATTGACCTCTCCACTCCTAGAGTATCTTTCTCCATCCAATCCCACATGCTAGCCTCGCTTTGACGTTTCCTCTTCCTGGAAGTCTTGCAGTCAAACTTGTACTTAACATTCACAAACACTCTCCACTACCCACATTCTCTGTCAGGCTTGATAACCTCACCATTCTCAGTACTCTAATCTGGGGGTCATTTTTGTTGACTCCTCTTTTGCCTTGCATGTCCAGGCTGTGCCCAACTTTTGCCATTTCTCCAAGACTTGTCTAAGATCTATCCATTTTTTCTGTTCAAACAGTCAAAACTCACCTAGCCCCTCATCACATTTTATCTTGATTTGTATAAGCTTCTTCTCTCTGGGCTCCCTAGCACCCACATCTCCCTGTCCATCCCGTACAAATTGCTGGTCAAATGACCTTGTTTGAATCCCTAAACTGGCTGCATCACCATGGCAAATTCAAACTTCTTGTTCTCACCTGCAATTCCCTTCACAACTCTCTGCTCATCTTCATTTCTGCTCTTATCTTTTATCACATTGTCCCCCACCCTGCCTTGTCTGCTTCTCACAAAATCCTACCTTAGTATCTCCTTCCAAATTGTACTCCCAGGCCTGGTCTACACTACGACTTTAATTCGGATTTAGCTGCGTTAATCCGAATTAATCCTTAACCCGTCCACATAACGGAGCCAGTTACTTCGAATTAAAGGGCGCTTAAAATCGATTTCTGTACTCCACCCCGACGAGCGGAGTAGCACCAAAATCGATTTTGTAAATTCGAATTAGGGGTAGTGTGGCCGCACACCACCGAATTAATGTGGTTAAAATTAATGGGGTAGTGTGGCCGCACACCACCGAATTAATGTGGTTAAAAACCGAATTAATGTGCTTAGTGTGGCCGCGCACAATCGAATTTATACAATCTGTTTCCCAAATTCGAATTATCTAAATTCGAATTAATCTCGTAGTGTAGACGTCCCCTGTGACTGGAACTATGTCCCTGAGGACTTTGGCTGTTTGAATAGAAAAGCCATTAGTATCTTATCCTTCAAAACTCTCCTCAAGACCTATAAACATATTAGAAAATTAATGATGGCTTCAGGAGAAGATTGGGATAGTTGGCATTTCTTATATAAAGTATGTTAAAAGAACTTTATTAAGATAACTTTCAAAGGTTAGGAAATACCAGAATTAAGATTGTGCAAACTTAATTTAACTCCCTTCTGCATTATTATACAGTCCAACTATATGATCACATACTATTTTTTTCACAGGACTCTGCCTCATTCAGTGCACAGGATAGATATGCTCTGGGGATAAACGAGGTATGTGTGGTGAAGTTGCTCTCTGTAGGACCCTGGCTTGTTTGTGCTAAAAAGGTGATAAGTCTGTACCATTATGCATATGTGCACAGAGTCCAAATAATGCACAGGCAAACTTAATTCTGGCATTTTCTAATTTGAGTGCCTGGCTTTGCAACCGCAAAATATTCTTTTACAGAAGTGTTTTGTAATTTCCTACATTTTTAAAAAAGCAAACTGAAAAAACAAATACTATCATGTGGCATCTACGACACCCACATAGGTCCTCAGTAGGGTTGGCCACTTTAGATCCACCACACAGACTTCTGTCACTTGAGCTAACAGAATAATTGATAGCCGTAGTAGGTGGTCATCCTCTATGTGGATTGGCAAGAGGGAATGAGACGCCTTGCCAGGGGTTTCACAGATATTTTCTGACAGCAAAGGAATGGTGACTCAGGAATCTCAGGTTCCATTCCAGGCTCTGGAGGGAAGTGTGTTTAGCGGGCACAGAATCTTCTGACTGTTTCCCCCCCGCCCATGCTTGACCTCTTCTGTCCATACTCTCCAACCTGTCCCGGTCCTGTCTCTTTCCCTCCCTGGCTCTTTATCCCAATCCCATTCTTCTTGCTTAGTCAGTCCCAGTCTCCACTCCTATGTCTTCTTACCCCAATCTCCACCCTACTTCAAGTCTCTCCCACTCCCCCCCTGCCCCAGTTTTCTTACCCAGCCAGTCCCAGTTTCCCCATTCCAGCTCCTCATCTGATCTGTCTTTCCCCTTCATCCCACTGGTTCCTAATCCTAGTCTCCACCCCCAGACTTCTCATCCAGTCTCAGTCCACCCACCAACCTCTCTCCAACTCTTTTCTCCACCCAGTCTTCTCCCTCCCTCGATTCTTGGTCCCAGTCCCTTAGTGCAGCCATCTCAATCCTCCTCCCACACCCCAGCTATTGCCAATCTGGCTCCCTGGCCCTACTCCACCCCACACCCACTGGTTCCAAATTGCCAGCTCCTTGTCCCAGTTTCCCCCTACTCATCTGATGTCAAGTGTTCCTTCCCCCAGCCAAATGTCTCCCAGCCAAATGTCTCCCAGTCACCACCCTTTTCCCTCACTAGCTCCCAGCACCAGTCTCCTTGCCAACCCAATCACAGTTTCTCCCTCCCAACCCCTCTAGTCCCAGTTTCACCAGACTCCTTGTCCCAATCCCTGGTCCATGTTTTGTGCCCCCAGTATTCGAAACAGACAGCATCCTCCTCCACAATAACTGGGTGCCAGCAGAGGGGCCACTGAAAGCACAGGAGAGACAGGTTCCCTACTCTCAGTTCCAGGGACAGCCCCAATCCCTTTGCAGGGAAAGTCCGGCTTCACCTCTGTAGACATGGCCTGGAGTATGCTCGGTTGCTCTATGGGGATGGTGCACACACAGTCTGGTCAGCACCAGGACCTGAGAGAGGCTCAAGCATGCTCACTGAGGTTGGACTGTTCAGAAATTAGCTGCTACAATAAAAAGTCTCTACTAAGGATGTGTGAACTGTGATTATCCAATGGCTTATAATTTGGCCAAATTTGGGTGGATTTTCATGGGGCTAGCACAAAGCACACCCTGACACAAAGACCACTCCCAGCCACATTTGAAGTCCCTGGTCCACAGCATGGGGGCATTAGAACTGTTCAAAGAAGAAGTGGCCAGAATTTAACATGGGCAAAACAATGATTTTTCCCTGTCCTTGTTATGAGAGACATCTGAACTGTATTGGCTGAAGTTTTCGAGAAAAATTCATCTTGAAGCAGAAATCCAACATGTAAAATTTTACCCCCAAAATTTTAAAAATTATAAGCAACTGAAATCAGGGTTTTACAATGGACAACTTTAATAGGTGGTGCTACCTGCCCCAACTATAACCATATGCATTCTCACATAAATGTTTATATAATATATACAATTGCATCTCTCTTCTTCCATGTTTTGTAGGTCATGGTTATACTGTAAGATCTTTGGGGCATGGACTCTTTCTTTAAAAATGTTTATACAACACTTAGCATAATGGAACCTGAGTCCTTTTTGTAGTCAGCCAGCTGAATTTACCTAGAATTCCTGGCAGCTCCTGCACAATGTGATAGATGAGAAGGTCCAGGCATTTTGACAGGTATTCATTGCCGCTTTGCTGCTCTTTTCCTGGTGTAGTCTTTCTGCTGTCTCTTTCAATGTACATCACCAATCTACATATAAGCAAGTGCAAAAGATTACCTCTTGTGACAAAAAACTTATACTGTATCTCAAAAATGCCACTGAGGCAAGCATTTCCAGAGGGGCATAGTTACAAGCAAGATGACATTTAGGTGTTGTTTCAGCAATTTGTTGAAAACATTAGATTTTTGTCTTTAAAACAAAGTTCATTTAAAAAAAAATAACAAATCCTTCTATGGGGAAAAACAGATAAGCCAAATACAATTAGCCAAATTAAACTCTGGTGTAAGCAAGTGCAACTCTATTAGTGTAAATGGCGATATAGTGCTTACATGAGGAATGAATTGGCCCTTAAAAACTGAATAGGAGATTCTAACTTTAAACAGTTTATATTGAATTGTAATGCAAAAAAAATTGCTTAACCAAGGTAGCAAATTTTCAATTTGTGTATCTAAATATAAAGGTCAAAACCTACTTTTTAAGTACTTAAAAGAAGTGGTGTGATTTTCAGTGAAGCCACAAATCTCACCAAAGTTAAAGACATATACAAGTACCATTGAAAATTAGGCCACATATGTGCACCATTGGGCAAACAAGAATTTAAAAAAATCAAGAGTCAGATTATGCCTGGCCATTGTATAGGTGTGCAACCTGTGGGGGAGAGAGTACAAGAAACTTCTGCCTCCTTGCATCCTAGCATTAGTGGCCAGGAACAACTGCAACCTCTGTTTACTCCCTCCTAGTACCCCAGTAGTGAAAGCCACCAGAAAGGCCATAGCGCTGATTTTCTTCCACAGCATTGGTTTATGGAGTTGTCTGCAGACACAGAGTAGTGCACACCCTGTACCACTCTAGGGATTTGTGCAGCAGGCATATAGACCTTGTGTGCCTGTGGGTTCCTTTTTCAGGCATGATCCCTCCCAGAGCTCATCCCAAATGTGGGCCAGGATTAGGATAGTCTCTTCCAGCATGCTCCAGTACAGGAGTATATTTAGCTGTAATAAATAATAGGCATACTCAAGAAGCCAGAGTTAATGACATTTATTTAAGATCAAATTTCTCTGTGGAGAGGAAAATGCACTGGATTAATCTACACATCTGTTACAAATTAAATGTTTCAAATACTTAATTTTTTTAGTCTAGAAATTATGACAGTGAACTTTGAGTAAGAAATAGGGTTACCAATTTTGGCTGGATGTATTCTTGGAGATTTCATCACATGACAATCTTTAATTAAAGATTAATCTAATTCATGGAGACTCCAGGCCAATCCTGGAGGGTTGGCAACCCTAGTAAGAAATAATTTTAAACTATAGTTTAGCAGTAGGTTTTTGGCATACTGGCAGGGAAGCATAAATTGCTGTTATCAGGATTTTTAAAAAAGGACTATTCCCAGCTCTCTTAATCCATCCCCTTTCTTAGCCACTATTTTAAAAAAGTAAATATAGAGATGTGACAGAGAGGCCCAGTGGTGGTTCACTATTCTGTGTAGTCTGTATCAGCAATTCTTCTCAGGCCTGACATACGCACTATGCCTACCATGCTATTGTCATAATCTGAATCTAAAAAGTATTATATATCATTTGAAAACTAATGACACACTGGTGATGCATATCATTGTGAAATGTACATATTAACATTTTATGAGGAATTATGGACACTCACTGATATTATGCTTTTTTTTTTTTTTTAAGTCTGTGATCACACTTAAGGTATGTCTACACTTACTTCCTGGTTTGGCGGCAGGCAATCGATCTTCTGGGATCGATCCCGGAAGTGCTCGCCGTCGACGCCGGTACTCCAGCTCGGCGAGAGGAGTACGCGGCATCAACGGGGGAGCCTGCCTGCCGCGTCTGGACCCGTGGTAAGTTCGGACTAAGGTACTTCGAATTCAGCTAAATTTGCGTACCTTAGTCCGAAGTGGGGGGTTAGTGTGGACCAGGCCTAAGGGAGAAAGAGGTTCTCCCCCAGACAGGAGGGAAGGCAGCTACCTACCTCTCTCCAGTGTAAATTAAGTAAAGGATGTGGTCAAAGTCAAAGGAAAGCACTTTTATAGGCAAGGTAAACAAAGCCATCAGGAGAGTATGTGGGAAAAGAGGACTGCTTAATCTCATTGAGGGATGGAGAGTGTGCCCCCAAGAAACCTTTCTGCTTCCTGAAGCAAGGGAAATGAACTTTGGGAAGTCAGTCAGTCACACACACAGACACCATTTTGGCATCCTTCACTTGAAGGGACAAAGGAACTGAGCACTTTGAGGGTGTACTGGCCAAAGAGTATGATCAGCCATGCTGGAACAGACTTAGTTCGAAACACTTCTTTGAACAAGAGACTCAGGTTTTAGTCTTAGAATTGCATTTTTACTTTTGTTTGCTTGTAATCCTTTCTATCTTTAGTCCTTATACTTGGTATCACTTAAACCTATGTCTTTTTGTTTAATAAACTTGTTTTACTTTTACTGTAAACTAAGCCAGTGCTTTGATTAAAACAGAGTGTTTGCTAACCCCAGTTAAGCTAATAAGATGCTGGTTACTCTCTCTAAGGGATCAGTGAACTTAACTTTTGTAAGTGTCCAGTGAGCACTACAGGGCAGATGGTTTAGGGGAAATTTGGGACTGTGCGGGTGTTGGGGTCACCCTGCAAGGAGTAACCAAGGCTGGTGGAAGCCAGGGTGAAGCTACTGTGCTTTGAGCATGTTGCTGGTGTCAGGGTGCTGAATCAAGACTGCACAGCATTACAGGGAAGATAGTGACACAATCCCTTACTGGTCTGGGTTGAACCCTAAATGCCACATTAATATAGAAATCAAAATCTGTCTTGTCTAGGATGATGAAAATAATTGGATTTAAACAACTTCTTGTGCAAACATGTGGTATGTTAGGGCCCAGTCCTGCAAACCTTTATTCGGGCAGGAGAACAGTCCCATTATAAAATGGGATTATTCACTGGAATAAGAACTACTCTCCTGAATAAAGAGTTTGCATGATCGGGCCCGTAAGCAATGATGAGACTGCATATTTTGAAATACAACAAAAACCTTTATTTTATGGTGGTTTATATGGGGGTGGGGGGAAATAGGGAGGCGAGAAAGAAATAAGTGATCCATTCAGTAACCATTTACTTTTTCTCACCCCAGCAGCCCACAGGCAGCAGATCCAGCTATACCTTGCCAAAGGTTCTAGCTATTTTCCTTAGACTCTCAGTATGATTTATTCAATTATGGCCAATTTTGATGAAATATAATACATGTTAACTATTCAAAAGCCTATCTCATCATTCAACTCCAACTTTCATTATACAATATGCTATGTAGCTTTATTAGACATTTTCAGTTGCCTTGAATAATTAAAACAAAATAACTTAAGTTGTTTAAATGAGTTCTCTCTCACTGAGAGAGAATATGTTTAACCAAATATTAAGTATGAGTAAAACATGACACGAGAAACCAGAGTGTCATATTTTTCTTTAAATAAATATTCTTGTAAATTTAGTTTGTGTATGAGAGTAAGTTTAGAATTGTCTGCACATTATCGAAACAAGCTGTTGAGTGAAGGCTAGCACGATAAGTTTGATATATATTTATATTTTAAGAAAGGAATTCTCTCTTGCAAAATCCAATATAAAGAGAGTTTGAGAAGCATCAGATGTGTGTTTACTTATTTTGGGGAAAGTAAAAAGTAAAAATACATGTAAAGCTCCTGAGTATGGCCAGCTTTCTCTCTCTTCATGTGCAATGCCTTCCCCTTTTCAAAGTTATGTTCTTCTCTCCCACAAAAAAGCCAAAGTTGACAATTACTTCTAAAAAGGACCATCAATATTTCTTTAAATTATTTGATGGAATTGATCAACTCAACAAAATCCTGTCAAATCCCACATAAGCACAGTTAGCTTTAGGGGAGTTTATTGTTCTAAAGCCCCAGGAAACACTCTCCCCTCCTCACAGTCATCCACAGAATAGGGTTGTCAACTTTCTAATTGCAGAAAACCGAATACCCTTGCCCGCCCCCTGCACCCAGATCCCACCCCTTCTCTGATGCCCCACCCCCTTTCACTCCATCTCCCCTCCCTCCATCACTCGCTGTCCCCAACCCTTGCTCATTTTCACCGTGCTAGGGCAAGAGGTTGGTGTGCAAATGGGGTGAGTGCTCCAGCTGGGGATGCGGGCTCTGGGGTGGGGATGAGGGGTTGGGGGTGCAAGAGGGGACTCTGGGCTGTGGCAGGGGTGGGAGGGGGTATGGGCTCTGGGCTGGGGGTGCGGGCTCCAGAGTAGGGCCAGAAATGAGGGGTTCAGGGTGTGGGAAGGGGCTTCAGCCTGGGGGTTGGGGTGCGGGAGGGCTCTGGCTGGGGGTGCGGGCTCCGAGCTAGGGCCGACAAGGGGTTTGGGGTGCAGGGGGGGCTCCAGGCTAGAGCCGAGGGGTTGGGGTGTGGGAGGGCTCCAGGCTAGAGCCGAGGGGTTGGGGTGCGGGAGGAAGTTTGGGTGTGGGGTTCCAAGCTGGGGCAGGGTGTTGGGACACAGGAGGGGGTGCAGGCTCCAGGCAGCGCTGACCTCAGGCAGCCCCGGCATTTCCTGGGGACAAAGGAAGTCTGCACAGCTCACAGAAAGCTACGGCATGTCCCGCCCGCTCTGAAGCGGAGGAGCAGCCAGGGGACTCAGCATGCTGCTCCCGCCTGCAGGCGCTGCTCCCGCAGTTCCCATTGGCCAGGAACCCTGGCCAAAGAGAACTGTGGAGCTGGTGCTTGGGGTGGTGCCTGCAGGTGGGGGCAGGGCATGGAGCCCCCCTCGCCACCCCTCCGCCTCGGAGCCGGAGGGACGTGCCGTCCGCATCCTGGGAGCCGCGTGGAGTCAGGCACGGAGCCTGCCTGCCCTCCTGCAGCCAGCTGGACTTTTAGCACAGCTGGGAACGGAGCCACCAGGGTCCCTTTTTGACTGTGCATTCCGGTCGAAAATTGGACGCCTGGCAACCCTACCACAGAATGATTTACCAGAATATTTGGGGCAGTAAAACAAACACCTGTTCTGTTTGTATGGCAAAA